TTTAGTTGTATTAGAGTGCGTAGTATAATAGGTGTCAACTAACCCATGGTGTAAATTATTTACCTTTAGTTGTATTAGAGTGCGTAGTATAATAGATGTATAGTATAGTTTATGTTACGGTGTAGTACATGTCCTAAGATAGTATATGCTGTAGTGTATTTTCCTCAAAACATTTGGTGATAGATGCATCTCTTTCCTATTTATGTTTTCCTCTGTACCATTTTGGAAATACTATTTAATCAGAAACCCTGGTGGCATAGTGGTTAAGAGCTTGACTGCTAACCAGAAGGTCAGCTGTTTGAATCCACCAGCCGCTCCTTGGAAACCCTGTGGGGCAGTTCGAAACCCTACGGGGCAGTTCTACTCTGTCCTACGGGGTTGCTGTGAGTCGACATCAACTCAATGGCAATGGGTTTGCTTTTTTTTGGTTTTTCTAAGAGGAAAAGTGATAACTGTGGGAAAGCTTATTTATACTGACAATATATTAGACAGTATTTTAAATCTGAAAGATTTTCAGAGAATAATATTAATACGTCAGTGATTAAAAATCTGGGTGGTGGCTGAAACTAGAAGAGAGTGCTGAAGTGCCTGGGGCCATGAAGCAAGGATTTTGGTGTCTAATGCTCCAGCCTGAGTATAACTTTAGGCAAGTCTTTGCCCTTTCTTATACTTCACTCTGCTCACTATCTTTCTGTGAATACATAGAAGAATGTTTGTTTAGGAGTTCTCTCTTCAAAACTTGCAGCCTGTAATAATTAAGCTGAGGTTTTGATTTTGCACTATCTGGAAAAATATACATTAATAAATTAAAAGTGACTATCCTTCCCAAGAGTTTGGCCCTAATGTTCTATGATCTTTTATAGAAAGGCTCAAGGGTATGATAACCTGAGTTTTTGCATGTTTGCCTTTATACTTCAACAATATCATGGCTGGGTCAGAGATCTTGGACTTTGCACTCCATGCAAGTTTTCTGAGGACTTTGTAGATATTACTGCACTATCTTTTACTAATCTATGTTATGATGGAGAAGTGGAGCAGAATTTTTATTCCCAGCATTCCTGACTTGATTCTTTTTCCCTGGTCTGGCTGTTCCTATGATTCTTTGTCTTTGAAGTCCAGTACCTTTACGAGGATATGTCTTAATATTGATTATTCTCTACCTGTTATTTCTTAAGACTCACTTTACCCTTTTATTCTGCAGTTTTAGGTCTTGCTTTATTGCAGGAACTTTTTTTGTATATTCTTTAAATATTGTTTTTGGTTCCACTTTTCTTTTCTGTTCGCTTCTTTGGTTATGCATATATTGGATCGCCTGTGTTCTCTCTATCTGTCACTTTCTTTCTAGTCCTTTTAAAACCTTGTTCTTCTCCATGGGAGGCACGTAGGTAGTTATTAAGAGTACAGGCTTTGAAGCCAGACTGTCTGGGTTTGAATCCTTGCACTGTCACTTACCTGCTATTAAACTACGGGCCAGTTACTTAAACTTACATTTTTCAGGCTTCCTCATCTCTAAAATGGAGATGATAATGTGTTTACCTCAAAAAGTTGTTCTGGAGATTTACTGAGGTAAGACGTTCCAGAGCTTGGAAGAGTGCATAGTTGGTGCTCAGGAACCGCCAATGATTGTTTCCATTTCATCTTGCTTGATCTTCTCCGATTTATCCTTCTTGTCTATGACTCTGTTTTCAGCAATATCTGTTCTCCTTTTTGCTGGTTCTAATAAAGATTTCTTTTCTGTAATTGTCTTATTTCTTCCATTGTTTTACTGAGTCCTGATGGTTTACTTTTTATCTTTTCTGTTGAATGCCATTTCTTAGAAATAGGAAGGTAAGTCAAAAAGTTTGCTGCAAAATCATAGAAAATTTTATTAAACAAAAATATCAAAATGTGAAGCTATTGTTTCTTGACATATCCTCCATCTAGGTCTACACACTTCTG